TTCCGCGGACACCACCGTAAACGGTTTGATCCTAAGCCATTTATGAACCAGGCCTTGTGTCGCAATGCGAGAATCGAACCCGCGACCTGCAAGCAGGCCGGAGCTCGGCAACCCTAAGATATAGAGGACTTTCCAATGAGTCATACCGTGCGGCCTATGAGGATTCGGGCCAAAGATCATCGAGTTCACCACCGATCACCGGACTTGAAACGGAGCTTGGGTGGCAAAAAAAGAAGACTGCTCGCGAAGGAAACAGTGTTTTTCGAAAGCAGTTCCATTTTGCATACTGTAGTTTGAGAATACCAAAGGGCTGCTCGCGATCGGATATTCCCACACCTGGATCGTCTTTGAGTTGTTATCGTTTTCCCTACGATGGAGAACGACGGAACCAGTGGATGACGGACACACGACTCGAGAACTTCGCTCCTTATGCAAATACTTCGAAGTATACGAGTAGTGTTCCATCACTTCGTTGGCGAAGAGAAAAGTCAGGATCATCCCCTGTCACCCCAGTACGTATCGAACTAACTAACTAACTTGTTCAGCTCATTTGTGGCAGCACCAGTAAAGGCGGAAACACGAAGATGATTCCGAACACTATCAACTTACTTAGTTTGTTGGGGTGCAAGGTATAGCTGGAGTTTGATGATTGATTGTGCCGATGCTGATGGTAATGACTAATGTACCCAGCTCTATTATGCACGTACCTCTACATGACTGGTGGCGCTAGCTATTCTAGTACTGGCCCTGGGTGCAACTCATCATCTCTTCCATGCGAGTGTGTATGCCTCATGTTCTGCACAATGTGCATTTCCTTTGTCATGGATAAATACTCTGATCGACCTACTTGCGCAATCTTCTTCTGCTTCCCACTTGGTTGCTGCGCTGTGCAGTTCTTCATCTGCTGCGGCACATACTAGTACTAGTATACCTCATCATCTGTCTGTCTGGTCAATTAGGTACATGTATTCAGCTTCTTGATCTTCTTGTGGTGAGGATCATCTTGATCTTACTTCTTGTGTAACTCTTGCAACGGCAGTAATGGAGGACACTCTACCCGTAATCAGCAACTGCTTATGGAGAATGCCAGGTCGAGGGACGACCAGGAAAAAAACAATTGCTGTATTGGATGTGCATTCATCAGCGTGTTTTAAGATCAGGACAACTTAGTTCGCCACTACACCAGCTTTTTTGGCTACACAGGAGCAATGATGATGATGGCCGTGTTTGACTTTGTCAGCTTCCGTGCTACCAGCCACCACATGTCAACATTGTCATACTCGTACTGATAAGGAAGAAAAACCCACACACGCACACACACACACACACACACACACACACACACACACACACACACACACACACACACATGGATACACTGACAGGCATGCAAAGCAAGAGAGACAGAGAGAGAGTCAGGCAGCGAAAGAGAAGTGAGACTACTTGAAGGTTATGGGCACGGTGCTCCAATTTCTGCCCAGCTGAAGTAAAATCCATGTACACTATTTTCGTGTAGTGTTCATTGACGGTGCCAGCCACTGGTGACCCAGTGGTGTAGGAGCGTTGACATTCAGCTCACATCACGTTTCAGTCTCCAACGTGAATTCAGTCAAAACAACTCTGTACTGCAGCAACATGGGAGCATGCTTCTCCCAGGCCCACCATGCAAGTGCAGTGTGCGCCAAGAACACTTCCAGGTAATTCAGCAGCTACCCAAGGATGGACAGGTTCGGCAAAAACACTCCGCGAGTGCCTGACGTGTGCAAACGAATTTTGTTGACAGTTGTTGCTTCTTCATTCGATTGGGCAAGACACGATAATGTGCCAACCCAGCCAGCAATGAGACACATGCATTTGTATCCACCAGGGCTATGGTAAGACTTTAGAGAGTCCTTTGCATATGTGCTGGGGACATTCACTAAATATTTTGAGAGGCCTGGATACCCAACGCAGGGGGATTGGCTGAAAGGTCTTCGTCCATAGGTAAATATGGGGAAATATGGATGAATGTACTGGGCCCACGGATTCTGTCAATCTTCTCGCGGCAACGCCTCTTCAAGGCTGGAATAAACAGTAGAGTAACTGCGGATAGTAATCCTCGCGACTTACCGAAACTATTCACCACATCAAAGAAAAGCAAAAGTGCTTCACCACTGCGACGGCCTGCAACATCATTTGAACCGTACACCGAACAACACATTTGATTCTCTTTTTGCCACCCAAGCACATTTTACCGTAGGACACGGACTTGTCTTATGGGTGATCTTTGGGTGGACACCGGGAAGGCGCCAAAAAGGTGATGTAATGGAAAGTCCTCTATAACCAAGAGTCCATAACCCCCGGGGGTTATGGACTCTTGATATAACCGAAGCAGCTACATCGGACCATGTACCACCAGTTGGAACGTGTGGTATTCGTGTTTATAAGGTTCACCTTTGACCTTTGACCTGTCCCGAGCGTGATCTCGCGGGAGAACTTTCGACCTCATGTTCGAAGGTCGACCCCGAAAAAGGAAAAAAGCACGCACTGGGGCTGATGTGGTGGTGTCTTTTCACGCGCTTCTTTGTCTTCGAAGATCTACGAGTATGGCGTAGCTGGTGTTGATATCCATAAGGACCATTATCCACCGACACTCTCCTAACTGTTGCTGCCGCAAAGAAGGCTATCGAGGTTAGAGGCAGAAAGCAGTGTCAGACTCTAGCTCTGCGTGTGCTCCAACTGCCCTTCGGTAGTGTACCACCCAATACTGATCCATCACTGATCACGTAGGGACAAGTATGTGCCACGAAAATCCAGAGTCTTCGTGCACTTTGCCTTTGGAGAGCTTGTCCCTTTCTAGCATTCTACTCCTCTCAGTTTAGTAGTACTGGATAGAGGTTAGGAGGTTACTCCATTACTTGAGATTCTCTGCATGAAGTGGCAAAAACTGTGCCACAACAAACACTGCGCTTGGTTTGCGACTCCATGCAAAGTATGTGCGGAACTTTCACTACTGAGATCAACTCTAGAGGGTTTGGCATGGTGTTGACCTGGCACAAGCAAAACGTTTGAAGCCGGTTGTATTTCTCAACACACTGGATTATAAAGCTGGTTGTAATGCGGAAATGCGAATCATTTTACTTCAGATGGGAGGGGGGAGGGGAGGGGAGGGGAGGGGGGAGGGGAGGGGAGGGGGAGGGGAGGGGAGGGGGGAGGGGAGGGGGAGGGGAGGGGGGGGGGAGGGGGGGGGGGCTGACTTGATATTTTGTCTCCTGACATGATGGCCGTAGGCAGTAACAGACTGAGAGGGTTGATGGCAAACGACATGCAAATGTTCCTAGTGGTAGCACTCCTGTACTGTGACACGGTGCTGGCAAATGGCTGTATCAGATTAAGACCTTGCTTAGAGTGTAAGGTCAGACTCTAATTCCATGATGTAATTTCATAAAGATAATCATGGCATCCTCTGCTAATCAACAATCATTCCATTACTTTTCGCAATATCTTCCTTCGTTTAGTTGCACCCCGGATGTAAGAAGGCATAGTAGACAGCACACTGGCGCACACACACACACACATACACACACACACACACACACACACACACACGTGCGCGCACGCGCACACACACACCGCTACTGCAGGAACATGAAGAGCCCAAGAACGGCCTGCAAAAGAACACTCAGACTAGAAAACCAGCAAAATAATGCAAGAACCTGCCGGGACTATATACATGTACATGTATGCACTGGCGTGCTGAATGAGATACAGTGGAAGCCTGTAGTCGTTGTTGTATCATTTCTGTGGAATGAAAGGTCATGATCCAACTGAAGGTTTGGTGTGTGCAACAAAAGCGTTCCTGAGTTGTTGTCAACCAGGATTTATTGTTTTTTTTTTTTTTTTTTTTTTTTTACTATGTTCACACTCCCAGCTCGAAAATAATAAAGAAAGACAATGATACTGAGACTAGGACGAACGTGACAACTATTGAGCAGGGGCTGCACCGAGACGCAGCAGTGATGGTGGGGCATTGATGGCTCTGCCGACCTGAGGTCTCGGCATCACGGCCAAAAACACGCACCAAAAACAAAAGATAGAGCTGTACGAGTCAGCAAAATGAAAAGAAAGGAAGGGTTAACATCAGCGAGTGTGCGGGAGAAACTGTGAGACTATTAACAAATTACAAGGGCTGTTACTGAGAGGAGCATCATCATGGCTGATCA